CAGAGTGGTGTGAGGTATATAAATATTTAACTAACAATTATGAGACGCACTAAATAAGCCTCCCGCACCACGTACCATATGTCGAATGGCAAGTCCATTCACCGTGATGCCGAGCGTTATAGTGTATATCATCGATACGATATTATCTGTTAGATAGTAAATTTAATCAATAATGTAATGATCTTCTATTCCCGTGTTTAAGAGTGTGATGATGTGACCTCCTTACATGGTCATCCCACCTTTTTATAACCTTTCCTCTGGTACCTCGCCACTTGTTTTCAAATTTTGAATCGTTCTTTAATTCCTTTGCCTCACCATTCTCATTTTGTTTCGTTCTGTCGTCACTCCCTGCTCAATCGCGGTAGCGAGCAGTTCGGCTGTAATTTTCAATTGCGTCTTTGGGCCTTTCTTTACCTTTAAACTACGGGATACATTTTTGCGGACCGAAGTATCCTATTTTATTGCTGTGATCCTGGTCACGGCACATTAGTACTTTACAACTTTTTCAAGCTGAGTTTTCTAAACCATCATGCGAATTTTTCGCCGTTGGCAATAACACTAGACAAAACACTGTTATTTCATTGACCCTATTACCATGTGTAAAACAAACTCATTCTATGTACTAAGTAGCTTTAGTACACAAAAATATAATGGGAAAAAATATAAAGAGTTTAATAAAAGCAGGTGAGTCAATCAACTTCAACGACGAATTCATATTAATTGAAACAAATTCAGTGAACTAGTTCCAACTGGATTTCGGTAAACAAACACCCGTGACTTGTGCACATCAAAACATAGCGTCATGGTGTTATTTACGTTACTCTCCGGGGTTTAGGACGTACGAAATAGGGTTAAATGGGAGGTGATTTTTACGAGACCGATAATAGCCCAGCTCGTAAAAAAAGGGTAATAGACAAAGTTTTATTTCAAGTACCTACCAGTTCTAATTAAAATACAATTGTTAAATAAACAAGTGAGCTTGTGAATTAGCTTGTGAGAGGGGTGAAATTACAGGCACATAGGACTCGCCAACTTATGCCTCAAAGTAACGGGTGCAGTGGCAGTGCCCCTCAGATCTTTGCGACTTAAAGCTCTGAGTGGCACTGCAATTGTTATGGACAGGCGTATAGCTTACCATCAGGCGCACGACTTGTTCGTCCCGTCATTTCATAATATAAAAAAAGAGCTGACAAAGTGTATTTTCTATTCTTAAATTTTTTTTGTAGTTGGTATCGATTCAAATGAATAAAGAATCCGCTGTGAAATTATGTCCTTATTAGTATACCGCCCTGAAATTGTGCTATAGCAAGTTTTGCATCTGAAAAATCGCTAGTCTTACTGTAGAATTCCGGTCCACAGTTGCATTATAAAATGTATCCCAGACCCCGACATGTGAGTACGTCTAAATCGAATTTCAAATTCAAAATCTATACTGAAAATATTTTTCACACGTGAAACAAACGTAACGAGATACACTTCAAACTGTGATGTCTTTTAAATCTTCTGCGCATTTAGATCTAATTTATTAATTTTTTTAACAACCACATCAATTTATTAGAGTTTCTTGCTCATTCTTCTCAGGGGAATCTGCCTTACGAATGAGCGGTAGAGTTTAACCATTGTGACGATTTCAAGTGTAATAATGCTTACCTATGAAATAAAGATTATTTTGAATTTGAATTTGAATTATGTAACTCCAATTATAATTACTATGTAACAAATGTTATGACAACAGAAATGAAGAGAATTAAATCTCATGGCAATAAGAATAACAATGCCACTAGTTTTCAGTCACCATAAATCATGTGATGCGTAACTATTTGACCTTTATGCAGACCCGTTATCCAATTTAACATTGTCTCACGCGATGCACAATTGCAAATAGCTAGTGCATATGCACATGCTTATATTACTGTCAATTCTAATTTATTGTTTTAATAAAGTGAGCTGAGTGCTCTTTTAACCATATTCTAGTATTAATAATAATATTATTATACAGGGCTATATTGCTCACAATCATTAGGCAAAAATCTAATTTAAGAACTAAAAAACATCCCACAAAATAATCGATATACATACTATAAACAAAAGAGAATGTAAACATAGAGTAGCAGAGTATATCCACAAACCTATGACGAAACCGATAACTTATTAAGTTTTATACAGTAGTTTTTTCTCTTTTAACTAACACACACATTCACCCATTTCCATTCTACTCACAGGGAGGTTGCTACTCACATCTAAAATTATAAGTAACTTTAGAAGGCCTACCTTAGAAGACAATGTTATTTTTGAAATCAAACACATGTTCTTGCATTCAAGGAAGAGCACTGATGTCTGAAATACAGATTATTAATTATCTGGTTCAGACACAGATGTCTTGCGCTAAATGCAACATTGCAAGTTTAACACTGTCAATGTGAAATTTGTCTGTAAATTTATTATTATTTATGTTTATTGCTATTATTATTAAAGGTAGTTGCTGCATAAATGTCATTTCTATTGTTTTCCGTTGTTGATAATATGAATAAATTATATACTGGAAGTAAATTAACAATACTTAACTACCAAAAACATTAAATCTTGATCATTACATGTAGACAACAATTTGCTATCATTGTAACTGTGTCCACAACACAGCTGTAATATCTTCTGTTATATCTTTAATTGTGACAATTTGTTCAAATTTTAGGGTGAGAACCATTATGAGATCATAATGGACGCCTACAAACTCTACGAGTGACTTATTACTAATAGGATTGTTTGTCTGAACAGGCTATCGCTATGTAAATAATTTTATGACATAAATAAGGTTGTGACGCTAGTGACCGACAAGCTTGACGTCTGTTTTCAAATTAATTTCTTATAAGAATTATAACAAAGTGGATAACTAAGTAAATAATTATACCTATATTTTAAGTATCGTCTTTGTGCATTTATTCTTTATATTACAGCTAAAAACAGATTTTCTATATTCATTTAACAATAAAACAGTGTCGGTAACTTGTTAGTTAATTAATGGATTTTTGGTGTTCATTACTGAAGATTTTTGATAAATTCTAAAAAAACCTTTAGTAGTAATTTCAATAGCTTTTTATGAAACAAACTACAGCGTAATCTTTCTTTTCAGCGTTTTCTTTCTTGATGATTATATCTGTCAAGTTAACTAATCTAATATCTTAAAATAATAACCGAAGTATTGGTTATTTTATAGAACACACATTAAAACATTAAAGCTATAAAATACCCAATGAAATAATCATTTAAACAATAATGACATAACAGAATGAGACAAAAATATTTAGACAATACTTAAATGTGAGATAATGAAAGTTGCAAAGGAACGTTTTGACAAGAGAACTCTTGCCAATGTCAATGTCACATTGATTATTGAGAACAGTGTGACCGTTTGTGGCAGATTTCTGGCATTTGGGCAGAATTAATTTTTATTCATTTTCATTTCTGCAGAACATGATAAATTATAATAAATATGGCCGAGTTTGGCAGATTTGGGAATATTCGGAAAGTTTTTTATTATTTTTGGGAACAAACTGAAAACTTGTTGTTTTCTGCTACTACGAACAAACATCTGAAGCGAAATACAGGATAATGATATAAACATAACCTATATCAACTTTATTATCCCAGCTTCTGCAGGCTATACTCAGTTAGCTTTTTTATGTTTAGATAATAAATCACAAGTATTGATAGGTCTCCTTAATGCACGTCGTCAAAAACATTGAGTCATAAAATACACGGGATGTCGCTATCCTTCTTTAAAGTCACATTTCCCTTCGAAAATCCGATCATTGGTACCAACACCCTAATCTCAATGTTTTTAATTCAAATTAAGTAGTCATGTAACGAATGTATTCTTAATTCATAATTTAACATAATCACGATACATTTAATGTGACTACTAAAAAAACCGGAAAAATATACGTTCCCAACACTAAAGTAACTTTTTTTAATTTCGCGCAGTCGCCGTTTTTCGCAACAATTTTTAAATTTAGTAATTATAAAAATGACGGGATTGTATACCGAATCGGTACTAAAATCTAAACGCATTTTTAAATACCAAATTGTAAGGTTTATTTTATTACCACAATTATTGTGGCTATTATTATGTGCCAAATAAATATCGTAACGAAATAATAAAAAAAAAACACGACAGTACTTGATGACATTTCATAAATGACTTTATTAGTACTTACCAATCAACCATTTATCCTAGGCACTTGGAAAAAGTGGCACTAGAGTCGATTTTTTGACGTCAAATTCGTGATGACAATACAACAAATAAGTTCTTTAAAATTCCGCATTACCGCGAGATGCAAAATTAAACTTGTCAACGCATTGGACGTTTTCATACCGTAACGGCGACGTTGTAATAAACTTAAAAATGTTTGGTAGCACAATAGAAAGAGTATAATAAGTTATTTCATATTATCAATGCCAAAGTACATACTACAATTTAAAATACATTATCAAGGGACAGTATGATCGTCACTAGAGATGTCGTAATATGGCGGTGTGGTCGGCGCGAAATCGGCGTGGCATATATTTTTTAGGCGTTAAGAAATATTAAAACATTGTATAAATCAACTTTTGTATTAATTTTTACCGTTTTTAACCGTAGTTTCAACTTAGCATCGTTACTAATAAAAAAAAAAAAGAAAAAAAAAAATAATGTTGGCAAATAAAATTTCTTCGAAAGTAATTCTTCTACACCGTATTCACTATCAGTACTTAAAAAAAACGTAAACGTATTTTTAAAAAATCTTATTATTATTAATATAAGCGCCATCTATTTCATTTATACTATACTACTACAACATTTAGATTCGTGTCATATCGTATTGTTTATATAACATGAACGTTAGTGATGCTAAATATGTCTTTGTACGCTGTTGTAAAACCGCTCACCAGAGCAAGCTGCGTAAATGGTACGCGCACTTTTACTCGCGGTAAACTCCAAGTGATATTTTGAATGTACTCACCACATTTCAGATGAATATGGCGGTGAAGTGGTGACCAGAGACGGCGGTGGCAGCAACGCGTCGTTTGGTAACTGTTTGCAAAGAAATCGCAGCTTAGGTCACGCCCATAATATGGTTCCATAACCCGTGACGTTCACACTGAATTTTGTTTGAGTTCAAAGATAGTTTATTCTCATTAAGACAATTGTCACTTAAATGAGAACTTAAAAACTAATCAGTAAGTTAAAAATATTCCAATCCAAGCTGTGGTATAAACTACACAATGAAATACTACCATTAGATACAAATATAAGTTAAAAGTTTAACTGTTTACAAATTTACATTATTATTATATAAATTAAATATTTATTTCAGTACTAAATGGTCGTTAATATGTTTATACAATTTTGATTTGTGGCTAACTAACTAAATGACTCCGCATCTTTTACATTTGAAGGCAGTTTGTTAAAGATATGCACTCCTTCTAAACCTATCGTCGTCTCAGATCATGCCCAGAATTAAATGATTGGCTTTGCAGCTAATATTGTACTTACGCGATTGTCTTTTTTACGAATGTAAAGCCCAGTGTGAATGTTCCTGTGTAATATTTTACGAATAAGAATGCATGTTGTGTAATTGTACAAATCGCACTGCTATTACAATAGTGTTGTAACTCAAAATAGGTGAAATTCGAGATTATACTAATGCCGAAGGTAACATTTGATTCTCGACACGTCAATAAAAGCGTCATTAGAATATGGTAAGAAACAACTGAAAGATGTCTACTTAACTCAAAATGAGACAAAAGTTTTTGTAAGTCTTTACGCAAATAACAGTATATTTGGCGAGTACACATTTTGAGTTAGTACACTATTGTATTAACAGTGCAAAATGTTGAATTTTCATGATTTTAGTTTTTTCGTATACCTGTTCAATTGTTATTAAGTATGGGTAATTAAGTAGCAATTTGATTTTGTAAAAATTGGAGCCCTTGGAATTTCGTTTTCGATGCACTGTTCCATATTTCAAGTAAGTATAAAAGATGTGGCTTTATTAAAGAGTTATAAATTGTTTGGTTTGAAACATTTTAATTTAAAAAACCCCTGATACAAAACAGTGTACTCCATAAATTCAATAGTCACCATCTGTAAGCTAACAACTTATCAAAACTAATTTAAACAGTCCAAATACGATAATTCTATTGCAAGTAGTTTTTTTTAGCCCCGCACTTAGGAAACCCTGTATCGCGGGTGCCATGACACACATAGACAACCACAAATCACACCCCAACTCACGAGGTAAATAAAATATAGACATAGAAATATTTCCCCCAGCCCGGGAATCGAACCCGGGACTTCTACGTGACAGTCCAGCATGGTAACCGATCGGGCGCGTTCCCACTATGTCGTGACGACAGATTGTCGTGCAGTTTACAGTGTCGTGGCTTGTATATTTAAATGAAGTTGTTCACATATAGCATGACACGATTAACTGTCGTTCACGATTTTTTATCATTACAACGACAAACTGTCGTTACAGTGGGAACAGCTAGAACGACAGTCGTCGGACAATAAAAAAACGTCACGATAAAAACGTGCCGACAGATTGTCGCAGCTCCTATTGTCGTCACGATCTAGTGGAACAGCTAGTCACGACAGTCGTTCAACGATAAAAAATCGTTCACAACAGATAGTCGTGATATGGGAACAGGCTAGACACGACAGTCGTCCAACGATAATAAAACGTGACGACATAGTGGGAGCGCGCCCTTAGGCCACGGAGGCAATTGGTTTCATCTCCCTTTTAAAAAAACTTACTTAACTTTTTTTTTTAATCTGTAAATATATTGTCTATATACATTACACACAGACACCACATAAGGTAAATGTACTAATAGATAAGATCAATGATAAGGATAAAATCTCTGAAGGTTGTAAAATATTACATATTTAGTAACGAAGAGTCTATACAACCACAGCTCGAGTTCAGACTTTTTTCCTCTACTAATACGGTTCATTTTGCATTGGCTTTATTTCTGAATTTATTTTTTTACAAACGGAATGAAAGCAATTTGAAAAATGTATATCGTATACTTGTTCTATTTAGTTCAATTGATATAACAAAAAAAATCATTGGTATATGTAAAGAATAATTATGTAAAGTACCTATTGAATGCAGCGGTTTTCTTGTAAAATTTCGAGGTGAGTTTGTGTTTTTTTTTTCTATGGTGAAAATTTTTAGGTATCGTGTTTTCACACCGTATAGTAATCAGTGTACACCCTCAATTTTACTATATATTTTTTCAAAGTGATTAATTCAACACTTTCGCTGTTATGCGAAATCAAGCAAAGCCATTTGAGGTTGTGTATCTTAATATATATGTGTCATTCGTGTAGTCGACGGTAATATTAGATTTCAAGGACTTCTTTAACGGTAAGACGCAATGTTTATTGGAGAAATTTTGTCCCTACCATTGATCCAATTGATTACTACAATAAAATAGTGAGTGTTTATTTTTTGGACTTTTATTGTCTGTCTTTTTTTGAAGACGGAGTAAAATGACATTTGTAGGGTTGCCACTTTACATAAAATTTCAAATAGTTATGTAGTTGTTGTCGATAGTATTATCGATAATTGGGAAAGATAAAATCTTGCCAAAAATGACTGAATTGTGTTACGACGTTCTAATGATTATTAATTACGTTATTGCCTTCTTTATTCTTATTGTGACATTTGATCTACTAGTATCGAGATTAATATTTATTCATATACATTTTGACAAGAATAGCCGCAGTTGATTATCGATATTGAATTAAAATTAAAAACTTTAAAATATGTCTCCTCTTTGTATTTTTCATAAACATAGTTCTAAATACAGTGTATGTACGTACGTATACATTTACAATAATTGATAATTCAAATGAACTTGTGCTTAGTAATTGGATGAATAAAAATAATTCGTCGAGAATAATTCAAATGAAAGAGGGTTCTGCTATTTACTCCATAAGCCAATATTCAGTCGATAGTCGATAGAATATTTATCGACTGCATTTATTTTTACACATTGAACTGTCATTTTACTCCGTTTTCAAAAAAGACAGACTATAGTTAGTTCGATTCCCAGCTCAGGTTTAAAAAAACAGTCAACGCAGTTATTCATATTAAGAAAAATAAAATAATACTTCTTTACCTTTTTCTATACCATCGAGTATATAACCAGAAACAGAGACGAAATGTCATTTAATTTGTTTGAAAACTATTCTGCCAAATCACTACTGTGACAACTGTGCTCCGATTGGCCAGCCCGAATTCGAAACTCGAATTGACGGATGTTGTCAATTGTTTCACTTCGAATCGACCAGTTAACTTGAGCTTTACTATAATGGACGAAAATTGCAAAATTACATATTTAATTACCGAAGAAATTTGATTCCGTTTGTTTTGTAATTAGATTTGCTGTTTTTCCCCACGCCACCACATGAAACAGCACGGCTTTGTTAGAGATATAATCTTTATTACAATAAATACAGAATATTTTTGGAATATACCGAGACACAGGTCAGTTGTTGTGGCATCTATATTTCAGTGCAAACGAGAGCTGATGTTTCTAAGTGATGTATCACTAATGAGTTACCAGGAATGCATGACCCTTATTTCGTCTCTATTTCTAGTTACATACTCGATGGGTAATTACCTTTTACCTACATGAATCATTGATTTTTTCCACCCATAAAATTAAGAGGGATAGCACACTTACTGTAGTAAGCACCGTGGCTTCACACCCTGGTTGATACTTGTCCAAGTCTGCTCGTGGACGACGCATTACCTTCTCGCGATCCTGCTTGTGCTTGCGGTCTGCGCCTTTTAACTTGAAAACCTGTTAACGAAATTAAAACGCTTTATTGTTTTCATATTCACCTGACAAAACATCTATTCTCTGTATGGAAAGACGTGTCGCTTACATGCTACGATTCGTTCGTCCCGTTACGTTACATACTTGGTGTGATAAACAAAAAATGCAAGGTGGGTTGAATTTTGTGTTCGGGAGTATATCGACACCTCCTACGAAAAGTATCGTATGTCGAAATTGCCAAGTTTACAAGGAATGAGCATAACACGTGACTTAGTATTTCTCAGTTTTATTCGGCAAAGCTTGTTACTCACATAGAGTATTATAAAATCCTAGATATCGGTTACATGAACAACCACAATTTATTTTATCATTTTACAATTTATTTTAGCATTTCTATGCTAAAGTCACGTGTTATGCTCATTTCAGTGAATTCAAAACTTTAAAACGCTTCCCTGTAAACTTGACAATTTCGACATACGATACTTTACGTAGGAGGGGTCGATATAGTAGGCTGTAATAGAACCTTAATTTGGCAAGCGGCTGCGTGAAGTCGTTCTTCATCCCCTGTGAGGTATGTCTCCACTTGGATGCGGAAGGGCACTCCCTTCTCGCCGCCATGCTTCTTTGCAGTGAACTCAGTCGATATGCAATTGAGCTGCAAAAATATACACGGTGTTATACAAAAAAAGATTTAGTAATAATGTTCATTGAAATATATCACGAGAGGAACTCAATCTTGAATAGGTTGGAACATGTGTTCAAGTCTAGAATCCCTCAATGCCTGAAGACCGAGGTGTTCAACCAATATGTCCCATCGTACAGTGCTTCTATTGTCTCAATGTCCCTCGCCAGACATCGGATCTCCGAACGCACACGAACATTAATTTCCATGCCCATTAATTATTAGATAAAGTCTATAATTTTGAACAACATTCTTTATTGCTGTTTTGTTTTTATTTTCGTGTAAACTATATAGAGCTGTAAAACTATTTCCCTATTTTTAATAACATTTACTCCATGTCAATAAGCAAGTTAACAAAAATATAAAGGAAAAGGAATTGATTTATCGTTTTTATCATATTCTTTTAAAACCTTATTTACTGTTCCGTTTGAAACGTCGCAAGCTACAGAAAAAGGTTTTTGAATTTTTTGAAAATCATTGCTGTCTTTCTTGAACGTCTTGAACGCCGGCTTCTTGTAAAAAAATACAAGTAAGTACACGCTGTAAATTATCTATCGTGCCAGTGACTTTAGCGGCTTTCCTCAATAAATGAAAAATGTAATTTTTGAGATTAAAATTGATGAAAACTTTTAAACCGATTTCAAAAAAGGAGGATGTGCACAATTCAACTGTAGTTTTCCGAAATGTGGGAACCGATTTCGATGATTCTTTTTTTGTTGGAAAGGGGTTGGCCTCAGCGGTCCCATTGAAATTACAAGAAAATATTCCACCTCTAACGGATGAATCCGGTTTATTGGATTTCACCGACTCTCCGTTAGCCGATTTCAATAAAACTTAGCAAATAGATGTAATTTAAATTTTTGTTGAATTCAATTATTTTTGTGTGAAATTACTCCACTAGTTTGTTATAATTATTAATACAAAGATCGAACACTCAGAAAAAATTCCTTCGATCTGGCCGGATTCGAACCGACGTCTTAGCATACCGTGCCAGACGCTATACCAACTAAGCCACGGAACGAACCAGCGGACCTCACGAATTTTTCTACGTCCTTGCGTCGTATCTTTGTATTTGGTTTTTCAACGACTTTTTAGCCGTAGCGCCATCTGTAAGAAATTTATTTCTTCAGGTACCTTTACAGCTACCATCGCTACCTACATTACCGGCACGCTATGATAGCCGTTTTGACAGATTGCAATAGTGAGGTCAAATGTCAATTCATTCAGAAAAATTCGTAAGGTCCGCTGGTTCGTTCCGTGGCTTAATTGGCAGAGCATATGACACGTATTGCCCGAGGATGCTGGTTCGAAGCTAGATGGATCGAACGAATTTTTCTTAGTGGTTCGATCTTTGTTATAATAAATAGAAAAGTTAGAATCATAAAAAGTATTGTCAATATTAATTAGATATGAGATACACATGATTGACGACAAAGTGTCGGCGGCGGTGGCGTTTCGGCGGCGCGAACGCATATTTTTCAAAGGAAAAAATAAAATAACGTATTTTCTATAGTAATTTTTTTTTTTTAGTAATCAAAGTTTTCCTCCGATCGTACGCAAGCGCACGCTTCCTTATTGTATACGCGTAGTGAAAATGGCGACGCCAGAAACTGACAAATTAACGTTTTAAACAAAACATCTTGACGGCCTCCGTGATCGAGTGATTTGCACATCAATTTTCATGGTGTCCCCATCTCTGAGGTCCCGGGTAGAAAACTAACTTTTCTACATTGTCTCGGGTCTGGGTGTTTGTGGTACCGTCGTTGTTTCCGATTTCCATAACACAAGTGCTTTAGCTACTTGCTTTTGGATCAGAGCAACGTATGTGGTGTTGTTGTCTAATCTTCGTATATAAAGTCACGTAATGTACTAAGTTTTTTCTTAGAAATGTCAATTTCTGGCGTCGCCATTGTCACTACACATATCGACCTCTCCTACGTAAAGTATCGTATGTCGAAATTACCAAGTTTACAGGGGAGCGTTTTAAACTTTTGAATTCACTGAAATGAGCATAATAGTTTTATTCGGCAGAGCTCGTTACCCACATAAAGTATTATAAAATCCTAGATATCGGTTAAATGTACAACACAATTTATTTTATCATTTTACAATTTATTAGTGACGTGTCATGCTCACTTCAGTTAATTCAAAACTTTAAAACGCTCCCCTGTAAACTTGGCAATTTCGACATACGATACTTTACGCAGGAGGGGTCGATATACACTTCTGGGACGATAATCTAATATTAATACTCGTGGCTATAGAAGAAATAAATTGACAAGGGTCAATTAAACGTGTTTACCTTGATGTATACCCCGACATCTTTGGTAGGGTCCCAGTACACGTGTAAAGCGTTCAGACAGGCTGGTTGTTCGACTCTTATTAGGCCGTAGGAGAGGGGAACATCCACCTGGAACAAAAACGCAAAATCGTTGGTACAATAAAGTGACAAGTGACTATACGTCACAAGTGCTTTCATGAATTATCAACCCATTTAACCAAGCGAACGGCTAGCTATATACCTATAAATGTCATTTAATTTGTTTGAAACACTATTCTGCCAATTCATTACGGTGACAGCTGCGCTCCGATTAGCCAGCCCGAAATCGAAACAATTGACGGGTGTCGTCAATTGTTTCGACCAGTTTAACTTGATAAATTTGCTATAATGGACGAAAAATAAAAAATTACATATTTAATTACAGATGACATATGATTCCGGTTGTTTTGTAATTAGAGGTTTTTGATAAATTTGCTATAATGGACGAAAAATCAAAAATTACATATTTAATTACAGATGACATATGATTCCGTTTGTTTTGTAATTAGAGGTTTTGCTGTTTTTCCCCACACCACGGAATGGAACAGCCGCCCATAGTTACGAGATATTAAAATATTTTTGGAATATACAGAGACATATTATATTTCAGTTTTATAATTTGTGATTTCAGTGCAAACGAGAATTGATATTTAAAAGTGACATAAGACCCATTTGCCTGATGAGATGCCAGGGATGGATAGCCCTTATTTCCGGTTATATACTCGATGTGTCCACATCAATTGTATTTTGTTACTTTTTTAAAATAATATTAAGTGATGGGACAAACAAGCTGTGCGCCTGATGGTAAGCGACACGCCCGTCCCTAACAGTTACAGTGCCACTCAGAGCTGTAAATCACAAAGATCTGAGGGGCACTGCACCGACCATGACTGTAATGGGAAGAAAAAAGGCCCAAGGGCCTTATTTGCGGCATTATAGTCTGGTTAGTCATCATGCAATCATACTACGAGCAAGTGTGATGAAAACCTCCATCCTAAAAAGTGATAATTTTTCAGATGTGGCGTTATTACAACATGATTACATCCAAGGGTGTAGTTTTAAATATAATCAGTGAACAAATTCATATCGTCATAAAGAAGCAACTTACCTCTATGATTCGTTCACCGGGACGTTCTGCGTGCCACTGCGCGATCTGTTCACGCTCCATGAACTGCAACCGGCGCTCGTGGAAACAGATTTTGATCACACTCTGTGACATACAAAAATATGTAGTTGAATATTATTGAAACCATATTCGACCAAACAAGAAGAAAAATTAATTTGATTCGGTTGAACTCAAACCAGAGACCTCGCCAAACCGTGACTGACGCACTCCTAACTAAGCTACGAACCAGCATACGCTATGAATTATCTATGTGCTTGTTGCAGATTTTTGGTTATTGTTTTAATGTAGCGCCATTTGTGAGAAAATTATGAAAGTTTCTCTTCACTCAGCCAGATACCTTTATAGCTACCAGCGGCTGACTAGAAATGTCGCTTTAATAATTGTAATATTAAGTTTATTAACATTCAATTGCCGACTTCGTATTGGTCATGCCTGCACTCCGGTCCATCTGGCAAAACTTAGAATACGGGATAGCTCAATTTGAGAATGTGGCCTGGATGAAGGCAATCCAGCCCACATATTTTTCAGCTGGCCTACCAGAACATGTTCTATTTATGATAGTCTTCCACTTTATATTCCTCGCCCCGTAAATTTCAAGTTTCGGTTATATGTTTTGACAAATACTATCTTAGAACTAATAACTGATTACATTAGTACTAACAAACTTAAAAATTATAAAACTTATTTATTTAAATATGTATATATAACGGTGATGAAATATTGTATTGTTCTGTATTGTTCCAGAAGCCGGAATAGACTAAAGAGCATTGTTAATTAATTAAACATCTAAAACATGAAAGTGTTACTCCCATGACTGACTTGATAAAGTAAAAATTCTTCAAGAGAAGTCAGAAACTTAAAAATAGAATGTGATAGACATAATTATTTTTTTTTTGTGAAATTACTCCACTAGTTTGTTATTATTATTCATCGAGTATATAACCAGAAATAGAGACAAATTAAGGGCCATCCATCCCTGGCAACTCATCAGGAAAATGGGACTTATATCACCATTGACTTACAAATAAATGGACGACGGGTCTAATACAAAAACCACGAAAAAAATGTCCCAAGTCAACCTATTCGAAATTTAAATTGTAATGTCATCGCAGTATCGCGCTGTCAGTCGAACAAATGAAGACTAAAGCGGAGTTTGACGCTCTGTATACGATGTTAGCGCCTTAAAGGTGCGGACACCTTTTAGCGCGGACCCGACGTCCATATAATTGTAAGTCAATGTATATATATCACTTTTAAATATCAACTCGTTTGTACTGTAATTACAAATTACAAAGCTGAAACAGTACAGCGCCAACAGCTGACCTGTGTGTACGTCCCCACATATTACAAGAATATTCTATATTTATTGTAATAACGATAATATCTCTAACTGTGGAGGGTTGTCCATCAACGTCTAATTACAAAACAAACGGAATCACATTTCATCGGTAATTAAATATGTAATTTTGCAATTTTTTGTCCAATATAGCAAAGTTCAAGTTAAATTGGAAGAGTTTAAGTGAAACAATTGACGACACCAGATATTTCGTCTCTATTTCTGGTTATATACTCGATGTCATTATTAATACAAGATTGAACACCAAAAAAAATTTCTTTAATTCTTAAAATTAGACAAATTGAAGTGTACCTTCAAAATTTTCCCTTTATAATGCGAAAGATCGCCAAGTTTCTTCAGCTTGACCTCGTAAGGTTGTCCCTGGTTGAGATAGGTAAGGCTCTCTTCGTTCTGCTTCGTGGCGATGGAGGTCGCAGCCGCCAGCACGTATTGGAATCTACCAATGTATTCGAGGTAAGTAGCGTCGTAGCTTAGAGAAAGACAAAATAATAACATTGTTTGTTACAATACTACTCTCAATAGAAAGTCTTAATAGAGCAGAGGTAAGCAGTAAGTGGAGATCCGTAGTCTCTACCTAACCCATTAGGTGATAGTATCAATGTATATGTATAAAAAGCTTAAGGGGTAGACGTAGCGCGTCTCAAACAGAGGCTGTGGCTTATATTGAAATTTCATTCAATGTGGTGCCACCTAGCGGATATAGTTAAAAGACTATGAGATGACGAATGATTAACGTTGTCAAAAAAAGCCGACTATATTGAGATAGCATAAGGTTTACTTTCATTTCTTATAAAAAAAATACGATAAACTGAAAATGGAAAGTTTTTTAAAATTACGTAAAATAAGACTAAACGCTGACGTGAAACACCGCCATGGAAAATATTACAGGTGTGACTAACACTTTTTTCACTCCAAAGTATTTTTGTTTTGTTTTTTAAACATAATATCAAGTAACGGGACGAACAAGTCTTGCGTCTGAGCTACACGCCTGTCCATAACAGTTGCAGTGCCACTCAGAGCTTTAAATCGCAAAGATGTTACATAAGCTGACAAGTCCCATGTGCATGTAATTTCACCACCACCCTTACCCTTCAAAACCGGAACGCAATAATGCTGACATTACTGCTTGGCGGCAGAAATAGGTAAGGTGACAGTACTTCTCTGGACGAACTCTTTCACAAGGACCTCTACTGCTACTATGATATAGTAGCAAAATAAGGCATTTTTCTACGATTTTTAGGTTTTGCGTGAGATAATTGACACGACCATATCGTACAAAGCGAAAATGGCTGACTGAGCTCAAGTGTATTGAACTTCGTACTGTTGGCGCGCGTACCACGCCCACTACGCACTTCTACTGTATTTATTATTCTGTTGGTCACATTAACTTTCAAGGGATCTGTATTCAGCAGTGCATCAAGGATGGTTAAAACGCCTTCGTAGTGGAATGAAAAAAGATACGAAATTCTTACGCTGTTAAAATTTGCAATATAGGTATGGAATAGTAAAAATAGACGCGAAAGCTTGTATTGAAACCTGAACAAGCGAAGGATAGATTCCTGACTATAGCGAGGGTTTCAAGGCACGAGACGCAAAACAACTTTACTGGCGAGCGAAACACAACTTTTCACCTCACTACAGCGAGGAAAATGGTAGACGAAAGAAAAACAATTGAACCATAAAACATCAGGTTTTTTATCAAAAGAAAAAGTTTACCTTCGGATGCGTTCTGAATTTGCACCTCATCAATTTTTATTCTTGCTTGTACTTACAATTTTGCGTGATTATTAAAAATTATTTTAGTTCTTCGGCGAATTAAAATAATTTAATAAACATAATTAGTTATCGTTTTCAATTTAATGTCAACAATAATAAGAATAAAATATACCAACGGGTTTATATTACACAAATAAGTAATGAACGACAAATCGCGTAGTTGAACGTGTGAAAATCTTTATTTTTTCATCGAAAGAAAATGTTAGGTGCATCACAATCCATCACCAAGTTCGAATTTTATTAATGAGAAAGAAAGCCTTTGTGAGCTAGTGAGGTGAAAAATATTTTACCTTGTATCATCTTTGAAACTGGAATCAACGCGTTGCATATGATGTTGTATAGGAGAGTGCAGGAAACCATCCAGGGTACTTGCTGGCGAACACATTAGGAGACCTGCGTCTGCGATACAAAAAAGATTTGAAAGTCAAAGCCAAAATAATCTTTATTTAATATTAAACTCTACTGCGCATTCGTAAGGCAGATTCCCCTTAGAAGACTGAGCAAGAAACCAGTGGCTAGGCGTGAAAATTGTCATTAATAAAGCCCGAGCAAAACAAAAACACACCTTACATTAACAAAAAGTGGCGCCGGTGGCGCCATTTACACACAACACTTATTAGAACACATAATCTCAGTACAGAGTACTAAAAAAACCGACCTCAAAAGTACGTGGAATTACGTCTATTTGCCAAGTTTTATTGAAATATCCCCTAGTTCGCCACTATACAGGACTTGACACTGGAGATAATAAAAATAGGTTCTCACTACGACACTACACAAAGTATATCGAGAGAAAAACGCCTTGAATTGGAGAAATAGCAAAATCAACCATTAAAGTAATTGCTCCTAAATTGAAGTTAGGCGCTATTTATAAAAATGAATCTTCATGCGTGAACAGCCACCCTTCGAGGTGGATGATTTTCTTCAAAATAAAATGGGACCACTATGGAAGTACCCCCTTTCCAACAAAAAAAGAATCATGAAAATCGGTTCACAAATACCGGAGTTATCGCGTAACATACATACAAAAAAAGAACATACAGTCGAATTGAGAACCTTCTCCTTTTTTGAAGTCGGTTAAAAATACTACTTAATACACTACATTTCAATGGGTAATTTATTCTGCATATAAAATTGACAATAAAATGTAGTAAATTACTTTAAAATATTTATAATATAACGATATTTGATGATATATGTATATGTGGAACATTTTTGGCAAACCGATGGGAATTGAGTTATACGGACGCCTCGCCACTGCAAGAAACTCTAGGGGCTGCTCTTTGCAAATATACATTTGAGTACATTGATCATTTATAATATTTATTTCAAATATCATAGATCGAGACTACCTGGAAGAGCTAAACGAGTCACTACCACGGATTTTTGTCATCCGAATACGCAGAAGCTATTTAATAAACCTTTGGTGTAAAGTTTTTGATTCTCTATAGTTTTAAATCTCGTGAATGGCAAATTTGAATATCAATCGGAATCTTATTATATGTAAAAGCGTATACATACAAGGCCCCTTAATAATTTAATAATAACGCACACACTCAATATAACCCCGCGCTAGGAATAGAGATGAGATTAACCGCTATATTCGCATAGCACGCTAAATGCTAAATTTTTATAGCGCGCTATAAAATTATAATTTTTAGCAGCGCAAGTTCGTGTGATAATGTAACGAATGGAAAGAAACGTGAAACAGTTGACGTGCGCTAACTTGTTAAGTATAGCATCTGTGGTCTATCTATAGAATAGTTTACAGTTTTTTATGGTTAGTTACGACCAACTTCATTTGTTTTGTAACTATTACATAATATGGTGGTTACAGGTTATAGACGATAAATCAATGAGCTTCCCTTCATACTTTAACAATTTACTATTTACAATTTGCACAAAACTTTACACTGGTTGTTTACAGTAAATTACACTCATAATAATTAATAATAACGCACACACTCGTACTTTTATATACAAATATTACAATGACTTATTGATTAAACAAACGCTTAACTAACTAAATAAATCCAAGTTTAATTATATCTTAATTTAAATCGCTTCACCACACGAAATTTTGCTAACGTTCCACCATTAGCTCAAAGTCGTATTAAAACGTAACCAAAAATATAATTTATAACACAACTACAATTATAATACTTGCTAAGTGCTAAATATAGCATTAGCGCTTAGCGTACTCAAACGTGAAATTTAACATCAATAAACCAATCAGCTATTTCACGTTGCGCACCAAACGTTAAATGCTACAAATAATATGTGAAAGTATTTCACATTATAATAGGTTCAACCAATGACAAAAGCCGCAATTTTCACATAGAATATAGTGCCACCTATGAAATATTAAGGGAGATAACTCAGGACGTAGAAGGATTTTTGTTTGTTAGCTGCGTAAGTGGAGCATGGATAGATTGATGGTATGGCATTGAAATATTGTAAAATTGTCGCTAAGGGCATTTGGTTTAATTTTCTTAACGTACTCCAAATCCAAAGTGAAAAAAATTATTTATAATTTTAGCACCTTCATGTCTTTCAAATTAAAATTGCTATAATTATTTTTTATTTTAACGTTATAATTTGAGCTATATATTACATTAACCATCTCTAATTAGGAAACCCTGTGTCGCGGGTGCCATGGACACACACAGACAACAACAAATTACACCCAAACTCACGAGAGAAATAAATGTCGGCTTTAAAAATATTTCTCCCGGATTGGGAATCGAACCTGGGACCTTTGCGTGGCAGTCCGGCATGGTAACCGTTCGGCCACAGAGGCAGTTTAAAACATTATTCATAATTAATTCAGTTCTTTTTTTTATTTCCTGAATTTTAATTCATTTGTGGTGAGAGTACCAACTCTACACCTGTCGACCTTCTGCTGAGAGTATCGATTCTTAATAATAAAACTGAAAATAAATAATATATCAAACAATTAGAGGGGGTTGTACCCGACGTCTGCGCGGCATTCCAGCAGGGTAACCGATCAGCCACCGAGGCAGTTAAACGAAAACGTTGGGCGTGTTAACCTGTGCGTGTTAATTTGTGTATTAATGTGATAATGTGTCTGTGCATGTGTAGTGTGTCGCTGTGGTTGTTTTAATAACCTTTAGTCTTTATGAACTTACTTTTATTCTCAAGTCCGGTAGGCGAGTGGTAACCACTGACCGGCATAACAGCTGATACTATAGGCTGGCACTGCATGCTTTCAGAGCTGCCCGCTGCAACAATAATTTATTTGTCACCATTAATCAGCTGTGAACAGTGTATACGAAAAAACTGTTTATAAAAGTTTCTTAAAACGGCATTCACTAATGATACAATCTGGCACTCATACCAAAATGTATTTCACGGCTCACAGATTTAAGCGTGAAACACACTGACGGCGGGTGCGGGTCGGGCGCGTGTCGGGTCGGGTACATGACGGGTGTAATTGTGGTGTGTTATGTGTTGTCCCTCGTGGTGTGTTGTCGTCATCGAGTATATAACCAGAATTAGAGACGAAATGTCACCTAATTTGTTTGAAAACTATTCTGCCAAATCATTACTGTGACAACTGCACTCCGATTGGTCATCCCGAATTCGAAACAATTGACCGGCGTCGTCAATTGTTTCACTTCAAATCGACCATTTTAACATGAACTTTGCTATGATGGACGAAAATTGCAAAATTACACATTTAATATTTATGAAATGTGAACCTATGAAATGTGAGTCCTTTAGTTTTGTAATTAGATATTTTGCTATTTTTCCCACACCATCGAATGGAACAGCCCCCATTGTTAGAGATATTATCTTTATTACAATAAATACAGAATATTTTAGTAATATACGAAGGCGTACACACAGGTCAGTTGTTAGCGCTGTACTATTTCAGCTTTCTAATTTGTGATTTAGCGCATACGAGAGTTGATATTTAAAAGTGATATAAGCCCCATTTGCCTGATGAGTTGCCAGGTATGAATGGCCCTTATTTTGTCTCTATTTCTGGTTATACACTCGATGGTTGTCGTCCATATAAAACCACGGAATTACACCCACCGTGCTCCCGACTCGACCTGCGCTAATCCCGCGCCCGTGCGTAGTGTGTTGTCGTCCATATAAATATACGGAATTACAACCGCCGTGCTCCCGACCCGACACGCACCCGACCCGACACGCGCCCGACTCGCACCCGCTCTCTGTGTGTTTCACGCTTAAAGGTTACGTTTGTTGAACACTTTTTCTTCACACTAAGCTACTCAGAACCAAATGGTAGTGGTATCTTAGGCCATCAACTCTACAATAAGTGTTTTAACACTCATCAGACATTACTGTATTAAAGTTATTTCTTACAATCTACACATACACACACACACACACACACACATATTCTATAATCTGTGAATCATTCAATATTATGAATCTTTTACTGTAAAAATTTTGCATAATGTATATAAAGAAAACCCGGTTAAGTGACAAAATATTTTTTTTTTTTGGAGATACATAAAAAAAACCATAACCCACTTTTAACTAACTGTGTTAACTAATTTTAGCTATTTTTAAAAAAGAATTTTATGCTCTATGTTTTGCTACTTCAAACGGATATTTGACCATTTGTCACTTAGCCGCGTTGGAGTGAGTGGACGGCAGATTTTTGATGCGTAACCTCAATCTAACATAATTACTGTACTATATGGAAGAGCGGGAACACCTAGCACAGGTATTTACATACTTAAGAGGGAGTCTCGACCCACACCACTATAAATGTAATGATTGAGCTTCTGAATAAAACATTTTTGATTTTTTTTTTGGTACAATATTAGACGATACTTACAGTGCTGTGTCATCATAGCAGCGCTGTGAGGAGGGGATGGTTGGCACCCTTCTTCCATACCCTCGCGGTTGCTGTCCACCAGCATGCTGCTCACCTAGTTTAATCAAAGAAGAACAAATATATTTTCTATTTCCTTTATACACAACAAGAACAAGTCGTGCGCCTAGCGCCTGGTGGTAAGCGACACGCCTATCCATAACAGTTGCAGTGCCACTTGGGAGATTTAAATCGCAAAGATATTGCCCCTAAGATCCCTTCGCCCAAGTTGACAAGTCCCATGTGCCTGTAATTTCAACAGCACCCTTTCAAAATCGAACCGCAGTAATGCCACATTATTTATTTCAACACTTTATTGAACCACAAAGTAAATTATAAATTTTAAGAAACAATTAAAATATTAGTGTACAGAGTAAATAACATTATGGAAAAAGAATAAATCGACCCCTCCTACGTAAAGTGTCGTATGTCGAAATTGCCAAGTTTACAGGGAAGGGTTTTAAAGTTCTGAATTCACTGCAATGAGCATAACACGTGACTTTAGCATTTCTCAGTTTTATTCGGCAAAGCTCGTTACTCACATAGAGTATTGTAAAATCCTAGATGTCGGTTAGATGATCACTGTATGTCAGTAAAGAGGTTTTGCCAAATAAAACGGAGAACTTTAAAACGCTCCCCTGTAAACTTAGCAATTTCGACATACGATACTTTACGTAGGAGGGGTCCTACGTAAAGTATCGAAATAGACATCTTTTGCCAATTATATTTAATAAATTCGATTTTTTGGGTGGCAGAGAATTGTTAAGTAAATTCACATTGAAAAAAATATTAAAAGTTATAACTTCCTGAAAGCATGTAAATTTAGTAATTTCTACACTGGTTTTGTTAAATGTACTCGTATTAGGTACACTATAGTTTTGTGATTGTGAGTGTAACATAGCCAACAAACCGCTTTCATAGTTTGTTGAGAAATTGTATTATGTTCTCTTCTATGCCTTGTTTGTATGAAATAAATAAATAAATAAAAATAAATAAACAAAGGCGAGCTTATCCTCTAAAGGGATTTCTTCCAACTAACATTACTGCTTGGCGGCAGAGGTAGGTAAGGTGGCAGTACATCCCTGAACAAACTCTTTTACATTTACCACTTTTAAATAGAAAACCACCACGAGGCTCACATATTAACTAAACTAACAGATAACTCACGTATTTTAGTCAAATTTTTGCTCATAACGTGTTGAGCAAAATTGTTTCGAACCAGTCTGTGGTCCTTATTCATGAGATTCCGCAGCGGTAACTCGACAGGGACTGCGCGCCAAAGCCCTGGCAACCCGATCACTTAGTACGGCTGCGGGCGCAAGCGGCGTCGGTGAGCAACTACCCTCGTTTTCTTAATTTTTATTAAAGTCACACGCAGGGTTGCACACTACAAAAGGAGTGGTTCCTGGGCCCCGATTCAGAACTCTTCGATATTTTAACCGAATCGTTCGATGGGATATCGTTCTCGGATCGAGGGGAGCTTTTCGAGCTATTCAGAAGATTCAAGTGAAACGTTCGATTGGGATACGATAGATAGATAGATAGATAGATAGATAGATAGACAGATAGATAGAAAATTCTTTATTGTTAGCACCACATTACAATATACAGATTACAGTATACAGGACAAAACTAAATACATTACTCGGGTAACAATTGGCGGTCTTATCGCTTACAGCGATTTCTTCCAGACAACCTTAGGATGGAGAGAGATTGTACATGAATAAAAGCGGGGGTGCTAGATAAAAATAATTACACAGACATATAGAATTTATTAAACAACATATTATACTTCTAAATATACACACGTATACAATATAATAAATACATATATATATATATAATATTTATATATATATATATATATACACACATACATACATATACACATACACATATGTATAATATATAATAACATACAATTACATAACATTTTATTTCTACATACACAATATTTACATATTTTAAAGATATAGAAGCAGCCTAGCAGCAGTTTATTGTCCTTGTG